TAAAAGATGAAATTTTAGCCACTTTTTATAAAAAGTAAAGAATAAATAGATTTGTGAATTTCAATATAGTTAGAGATACAATAACCTAATAAACTTATTTCTTACATATTCTTACACATTTGTTTTTCTTTTGCACAATTCTCCATCATACAATTCTCAATTTTTTCAATCTTCGTGTAAAACCATATTTGAAAGACAATTCAGGGATGAATAGAGTATCATTGAGTAATTATAAAAAAAAGTCAGGATAATGAATAGTGTAGAAAAATTAGATAAAAAAATAGAAATATGAAAGAGAAAATAATAACAAGTAGAAAACTAAGGGTAATTAAATATACTTAACGGAAAAACGTACCAAGAGGAAGAAATGTAGTAAACTTTAATATACATCCCCAAACGGAAAGTGAAACAAACTTATATAGTACATGTTGACATATGCACTTAGGGGCCGAGGTGTTTGGTAAACGGAGTTTCAACCGAAAAATGACGGTTTAACTACTTTCAGCGTTTTCAATAAGTGAAAAAGCTGTTTGGTAAATAACGGTTCGGCACTAGCATTTTTGGCTGAAAACGCTGAAATGAAAACGCTGCTAATAGGAGAGTTTTGGATTGACGTTTTGAAAAATGACGTTTTCTACTAATTTTATGGCCAAGTAGCTAAATTACCAAACATCTTTTAACAATCTGCCAATTTATTCCGCTAGTCAAACACGCTGACTGAATCCGCTATTGACATCAACCCGCTAACATAAGCTGATATCCGCTAACCGCTATCCACTGAATGCGAAACACGCCCTTAATATAGTTAAATTGGTGAGGTATTTGTAAAATAGTATAGCTTCAAAAGGGAGCAAACATTCATTCCAAAATAGAAAAAATGTTGACCGACGAGGTATTCCGTCCCAGACGGGGATTTCAATATTCCAGACGGGGATTTCAATATTCCAAACGGATGGCACGGAAATTTCCCGTCCCAGACGGGGATTTCAATATTCCGAGCCAAATTCCGTGTCAATCCCAAAAATTTAGAAAAAATGTTGACCGACATGAATTGCCTCGGAACAAATTGCGTGCCAAAAGAGAACACATTTCATTTCATTTGGCTCGGATATTTCCTAGCCACAAGCTACCGAACCAAAATTTGAGCCAATTGTTGAACAAAAAATTAGCCGTTGCACTTCCGAGCCAACGACGAGCCAAACTTTGAGTCAAAAAGTCGTCGTTGCAATGTTGCATAACCAACTAGTGCTCATGTGATGTAAAGTTGTAAACGAGTTTTTCTTGGTCTTTTTAGTAAAATTTAGACAAAATACTATTGAATGTGTGTGTTGTGTAGTCCAAAATAAATGAATAAAGAATTAAGTGAAAAAATAATAATCATATCATACGTTTAGTCCACATCTTTCACTTTTGGTCGTGTGGAAATATGACTATTAGAGAATAAATTCCACTTTTGGTCTTACGAGTTTCAGGTCAATTCCACATTTAGTCCACATCTTTCACTTTGTTCACTTTTGATATATGACTATTGTGTTTTCGCCCATATATGGTCCTTTCGGCATTGTTGTAGATGGTTAAAATCGCCAGAAAAGGACCACAAATGGTTAAAAAAACATTAGTGAAGTACCAAAAGTGAACAAAATGAAAGACGTGGACTAAAGGTGGAATTGGCACAAAACTCGTAGGACCAAAAGTGGAATTACTTCATATACTAATAGCCTAATATATTTAGGAATCTACCTAATACTATATATATATTTAGGAATCTACCTAATACTTCCTCCGGTTTGACCTACACACATATTAAGGAAATAAACTTATCAGGGGGTAAATTTTACTGTTTTGACACTGTTTGGACTCTGTTTGGGCACTGTTTGACACTGTTTTGATGTAGGATAACTTTCCATTTAGGGATATGAGAACTTCTTTTTGGGACATCCAAAAAAGGAAAGCGGAAACATCCCAACGGGACGGAGGGAGCTGAGTATATATTTAGGAATACTCTATATTTTGACAACTCTTCTACTATAAATATATCTGTCAAGATTCCTATTGGAGTACCTTTCCCATTATTTCACATATACTTAAATTATGTGGTGGTGTGAATTGACTTCGTTTGGTATATGAAATCGGTGTAGTCATAGAAGAGTTCGATAATGAATTGTGTAAGTAGCTTTATCGGCCATGTCAGCTTGATCACATGCGTTTCCCAAGAGTTGATGCCCAAGTAGGATTTAAGAATTGTATTTAATACTTGGTGCTTTCAAGCACCTTATGAATCTTATATCAAAGTAATAGGAAAAATGATTTGAATTAGAGAAGCATGATATTTAAGGGAAAATATTAAGCAAGAAGTGTTTCTCCAACCACAGCAGGTAAACTGCATAGTTGAAATTTGTTGTTTTTATTTAAACAAAAGGTGCAATAGGTAAACGTAAGTTGATAAATAAATATAAGTGCATATAAAAATTGTGTAGAGGTAATAATGTTTATGTATATATGGGTGTTTTTAGTTAAACTAAATTTTTGTGATTGGGTTCCATTTGTTCTATTTATGTTAGTCCAGTTTGAGTTGGTCTGTTAGATATCCTGAGTATGTGAATTTCACTAAAGTCGATTTTAGTTTGTTTAAATCTGATCTGTCAAACTAAAAAGTGTATAATTGTTATCGTACTCATAGAAGCTATAAAGGTTTCTTCACCATATAACGTTAAATGAGATCGTTGATGAACAATAAACAAATAAACCTGAAGACATCAAAATGGTCGGCTCATACGCATTTGTTTAGTTAATAAACATTGAACAAACATGAACACCAAAATCTTGGTTATTATCTCAACTGTCTTCTAGTTGACAAGGCACTAGAATCAAGGGTTCCCAAGCAGGATATTGCTGGGAGACAAAAGGCTTTAAACATATTCAAAAGAACGACCAGTATAACCACGTTTCCTATCATTAGTGACCTTAAATTCATTAGAAGAGATATTAATAATAAAAATATAATTAGTTTTCCCCCTCTTCTCCCACTCCTCTTCCATATGATACATACCAATGTAAGAAACAACGCCGACAATATGATTCCTACAAATGGTCAATGGTTGTAAAGAGTATGGATAAGGGCCAAAGGTAAACTTCTTACTCCAAGAGGCGCCAATGCCTTCCTCAATCACCCACAAATCAATAACATAATTGCTTGAGTTTGGAGCAAAAGAGGAATGTAGTAGGGCAAGTCTCTCCTCATACACAGCCAGCTTAGCTTCTCCCCTGAATAAAGCAGGTGCTGGTATCACTTTGAACTCTTCCAATGCTAAATCAAAAGAAACTATGGATTCCTCAAATTCCAATCGATTCCTTGCAAACCAAAACATGGATCCATTAACATTCAGGCTCTTAGTAATAAGGTATCTACCCTTTAAAATTCCGAATTCTATGTCCTTCCATGAATTTGTGGATAATGAATAAACTTCAACTCCACGAACCACAAGGCCGGCCACAACATCCCTCCCCGTATAGGTTATCACAATCTTGTAATCATTTTTTGATGAAATGTAAATATATTTATCAAAAAGTGTTTATGTACATCATAGCAAAATTGCAAGCAATCCAAAGTAAGGATGCCGTAACCATCTACACTTGATAGGCAGCCATCAAAGCCCCCTATCCACCCCAAAAATCAGCCATCTAGCTGTGACAAAAAGTGGGTGAAAACACAATCCCAAATGTATCAAAAGTTGATCATATGCACCGGATACATGATATAAAGCAATTTATACACCATATACTTTATGTGCAAAAACATTTCTTCCACCTTGGGGGCTGCCCCATCAAAACAAATTGCATTTCTTGTCCTCCATGTCCAATAGACCGTATAGCATAAGGAGATCCTAATAGCTTTAGCCTTTATGTTTGCTCCATTGTGTTCCTCCTTAATCCATTTTATTGCACTCTTTAGTGTAGTCATTTTATTACAATCTTGTAATCATTAAGAGATGGACTGAATCCAAATTCCAAATTATAAAGTAAACGTCCACTAACTATTCTACTACTAGGAACCTGCATAACCTCTCGAATCGCAGGATTCCACAATGCAAGAGTCGGAGGGAGGGCATGAAGCGGACCAGTTTGGACACAGAGCAAGCCGTTGCCGGAGCCGACAATCCTGTCAGGCCCAATTGAACCGGTCAGATGTCCGTCCAGAACCCCGCGGAGTTCCATGTCCAGGCCAAGCGAATGTAAATTCGAAGTGCCTTCGAAGTCAGTAATCAGAGAAGGGGTTTGATGGTTGGAATAGCTGAGGTGGTCGATGATGAAGGAAGGGGCGTTGATCAGATTCTTCCAAAAACGGGACACGCATCGGAATCGGACAAGAGATTTCGCTCGAAGCCGCTTAAGAATTTTTGTGAGGATTTCTTGTGGAGGTAAGGGATGCTATGATCCATAGTTGCTCTGCTTTGGTTCTCTTCCGGTAAAGAAAGTTGTCTGCCGCAGTATTTATATTCTAATCTAAGTGCAAAGCCCTAAATTCTTAAGGAGGATGACAGATATGGGTAAGATTAGAAAATCAAATTTTGAAATTATAATGTTAAGAGCATCTCCAATGCTATAATGTCCACGTTGCATATGTGGCATGAGTGATAGCCACATAAATATTAGCAAATAAATTATTTCTCTCCTTATTTGAATGATTTTATACAATTTTAGTAAGTTTTTCCCTGCAATGTCAACAACAATGTCAACATCTAGACGGTCTCCTTGACAGTGTGGAGAAAAACTTACCAAAACTGTATAAAATCATTCAAATAAGGAGAGAAAGAATTTATTTACTCATATTTATGTGGCTATTTCTCATGCCACGTGTGTATTGTACACATTTTACCATTGGAGATGCTCTAATAGAAAAAATGGCCGCAATATGACTCCCCAAGTTTTCATTTCTAAAAATATGACACTCCCGTTTTGTCCAAAAAAGTAACCCTTCCTTCATTTTTTCACCCACAAGGCCGCATCGTACCTTCATCTCAAAAGTCTCTTCTTCTTCCTCTCATCAACACCGGGCTCAAGGCCAACAATTTCAAATCCCATGACAATGCCTTCAACGCCATCGTCGCCTCTACCACTCCCCTCCTCCGCCGCTCCGTTCCTCCGTCGTCTTGGCTGGTCTTTGCCATTGTCGTCAGCAACCTATCATCTTCTCCGGCGATGGCTTCGATTTGGGGCTACACGACTCGATTTGGGGCTGCCACTTCCGGATCCTCCAACCTAGGTGGACGATGACCAAGATCATGGTGCAGTGAATGCCGCATTTGCCGGATCCGTCGTCCTTGAAGTCGGAGCTCGGCCTGAGGGAACGACAGGGGGCGGTGGAGGGGAAGGTGTCGCGGACTGGGCGGAGTTCTGGTGCCTAAGGCTAGGGGCAGGGAGTGGGGGTTAGGTTGGGATCTGGTTTGTAGATCTAACTAGGGCAGGGGAGGGGACTTTGTGGACAAGGAAGGGGCAACAGGTGTGGATGTTGCAGCGACGATGGCAGCTTTCGCTAGGCAGCAGGATGGGGAGATTGTTGTTTTTGGTGGCACAGAGGTCGAAAACTTTCCGGCGACCAGTCACTATGGATGGTGGGGGGTCAGTCACTATGGCCGGAGTGACAGAGTCAGTCACTGCGACCGGTGGCAGGCAGTCGTTGTGGCGGTAGCCGGACGATCAATATGGTCGGAGTCACTCTGGCAGCGGGGCAGTCACTGTGGCGGTGGGGCAGTCACTGTGGCGGCGGGGCAGTCACTGTGGCGGCGGGGTAGTCACTGTGGCGATGGAGCAATGATGGGCGGGGCAGTCATTGTGATCGGTGGGTCACTTTACCCAGAGTCACTTTGATCGGAGTCACTTTACACTGCAGAGTTAATTGTGATGTTGGTCACATTTTTGAAATTTTTGAAAACAGATCACTTTTTTTTTATCTTTTATCCTATTTTTAGTAATATTGGAATAAAAAGGCCATGTTAATAATGAATATCCCAAATTAATATTGTTAAAATCAATAGCCTGATGAATACTATCGCACACTAAGTTACAACAAAAAATACAAAAAGAATTATTATTGGTAATCAATGTTCATGAAGAGCTTTGGTACTATATACGGAGTACAATATAATACTACATTCGTCCCCCTAATATAGGGACGAAAGAGAGCGGTGTGGTTTTTAAGAAAATTAAAATTATGTGGTTGATAATGAGTTGGTAAAATGTGAATAAGGTAATTGAAAAATTTATATTTTTAAGGAAAAGTTTCTATTAAGTATGTTTCTCACGACTCGCTGAAAAGTTTCTATTAAGTATGTTTCTCACAACTCACTTAAAATATAGGAATTATATTTTTAAGAAAAGTTTCTGGGTTGTCAAAAATGGTTGGTAAATGTTCGAATTATTGTAAGAATTCTCCAATTGAAAATAATGTCATGACTTCTCATTTATATATTATGTATGATATTATTATGTAGGATGGTGGATGCAAGTAATTTTGTATAATATGATGAAATAAAGCTGAGTATTGAAGAACACAACACAATTGACAGTCCAATAAAGACTCTGAGGTTTCCAAATATGAATGGGCAGTTGCAGCATATAAAGGACACCATTTGTGAAGTTATTAGACAAGATAGTCATGGTAGCCACCATGTGATAGCTAACGTTAGGAGTCTGTTGGAAAACCATGTGAAAGGAGAACAATTGAAGTGTACTGTTGTTAAAGCCATGTTTGTTGTGGTTGTTGTACTCAGCATATGTAATATGAAATGTTGTAATGTGTAGGAGGATTTGTTGGCGTAATGTGTAGGAAGGTTTGTTGGTTTAATGTGTCGGAAGATTTGTTGGTGTAATGTATGGTGTGAAATGTTCTGGCCGGATGGTGTAATGGTGTTAAATGTTGTTGGCATGCTCTGAATACATTCAATTGTTGGTTTCATAAGTTATGTCAATGATGCCTACTCAAAATTAAATGAATTGTGTTAAGTTATTCAAACATGTTATAAATACATTACCACAATCGAAGACAATGAAGTACAATACAAAACACTTTAAAATGAATTGTTTTAAACACAGAACAATGAAGTAAAAAAGAAAACACATGCATTATCATTAACACAAGCTTTACCATTTTGGATTAGTAGTTTCAATTTTGGTTACTAACCACAAAAAATTGAAATGTTAACATCAAAATATCAGCCCTAAAGTGTATACCAAAACATACATATAGGTAAAGCATATGTTCAGCCCAAAACAAAAAAGTGTCCAAAATATAAGTTCAACCCATTTGGTTACTTCAACATCTTCCAACTTCAACCTAGCTTCCCTATTGGATGAGAACTTCACCACTTTACCCAGGCAGAAAAACAGGAAGAACAAGACACACAAAATCATCAAAAGGTCGGTAGTACACTATTTCAACTTAATTGAAAAGTATTATCACCAAATCCAGCTTCTTTAGTGTATTTTACATCGAAATATGTTGCACCAATGTTGGGGTCGGTATAAACACCAAAACCAGCCTGTGTAGGTCTCTTTTTGTGCTGCCTTCTTGAAGCAGTCTCTCTGGGAGGTTGTGATGGACATTTGACCTTTGAATGGCCTTGAACCTTACACAAGGAGCATGTCATCTTCCTTCCTTTCCTAGACAATTTTTCACGAGATTTAGGAGGTGGAACTTCTGTTTCCTCCCAGATCCTTTTTATCTTTGGTCTCCCGGTCATCTTCTTTGGGATAGGAGAATAAATTTCTTCAGTCTGCATCCTTGGCCATAACAGTTCACCATCCATGGAGTTGAGTGTGTGTGAATAAGTCTTCATATAAGCTTGTTTTGAGTAACAATCATCAATGAAGTCTTCATGCATCAAACCATTATCAAAAATAGCACACGCAGTTGGTTCGACTTTTTGGGATCGACTTTTTTGATGGTTTTCCTAGCTTTAAGGCGTCATAAATATCAATTTTAGCTTAAATTATGTTTACCGGGCGTTGGTTTGAGTTTTTGTGTTGTTTAGAGTCAAATTCAGGTAAATAGAGTCTGGAGACCACCGGGACGTTCGCAACGATGATTTGATGAAAAAAGAGCCTTTGGATCGATCACGGAGGCATTCAGGAGCATTTGAAGCAAGAAACGAAGTAAAGGGATGAAGGAAAGGGCACACACGGTCGTGCCTGGTGTTAGGCACGTCGTGCGTGCGTGACGATGCACCCAGGCCCGGAAATGAGGAAGGCACGGCCGTACCTAGGGCCAGGCACGTCGTGCCTGGAAGCTCAGAACGCCCAAACCCCACTGGAGGCAAGGCACGACAAGCACGTCGTGATTGGCCCCGATACGCGCGAGTGCTCCGCAGGCACGACAGGCAGGCACGCCGTGCTTGCGTAAGAAATTGATACGCTTGTAATTTCCGTGTGTATGTTTATGTTTTTAGCTAGTTTTGATTGTTTAATATTTAGGAAATTACACACTTTTGGTGTAATAGTTATGTTTGTAAAATAGTTGTAATATGTTTAGATTAGGTCTGTTCTCAGTTAAAGCAGGTGCAAGATCGATCAAATGATCTTTGAGGAACCCAAAAGAGGAAGGAAGGTGCAAGAATACAAGACAAAAAGGAGTTCCTGATTTTGACCTGTAACCGATCGAGTATACCCTTTACTCTTCGGGTACCAACTTGATTTTCAATCAAATTGGCTCAGGAAACAAAGGGACGTGCAGGGGAAGATTTGGCCACGATCAGTTGTTATACCCAATCGGGTACACCGACACACCCAATCGGGTATACCTATAACTTTAACCCTGAATTCGATCGAGTATACCTCGAATCTGAGGTTTTACACATACCCGATCGGGTACCCTATGTGTACTCGATCGGGTACCCGAGATGCACTTCCAAAAACCTATAAATACACCCCCTTTCCTTCACAAATAATATAATCATCAATTCCTATACTCTTCTAAACTCAGTCTAGATAAGTTCTTTCTTTATATTTTCTTCATGTTTAGTCTCTGAATGAGGAGCTAAACTCTTCCATCTTGGTTTTGCTACTTTGAAACTTAATGAATTGTAAGTTGTGAGTTATTTTCTTTAATCTTCTTCCTTGAATATTAAATAATTCTTACTCCTATTTCATATTAATATTTTGAGCATTACTTAAAGGTTTAACTAGTTTTGTTTCATATATTAATTATTACTAGAATCGATCGATTAATACGCATGTTATTAATTCGGTCCTTTCACGGTAGTAAACTTGGGTTGTTAATGCATGCGTCTCATGGTTAATAACCGAAGGGGAATGAATTATATTGATTAAACTGATAAACCTCTTGTGTTGAGGTTATCAATCTCAATCGTTTTCATCTTGATTTTATTGCTACTATCGGGTCAATATACAGCGCGTGTTCTATATTGATTTGGTAGTAAGTTTTATTAATGAACGCGTCTCGTTATTAATAACTACCCTTGATGAATTGGATATACTCCTCGATTGAGTATTCGAGAGGAAGATAGTTAAAGATGTAACCGGGATCGACGAACATTTCATTAAGTGGATAAAAGCAAAGCCAAGTCTTCATCTCTATTAAGTAAACCACATGAGTCGTTCATCTTCGTGTTAAATTAATTAAATCAAATCAAACTTTAAATCCCCCCTTTGTTACTAGTTCTACAAAAAGAAAAGTATTCATTTCCCTGTGGATACGAACCTTACTTCATTATACTATGTATAATTGTTGTATTGATTAATTACTTTGAGTGCACACCACGACAAAGTGCACGTCGGAAATCCTTGTTCAGCTCAAATTTTATCCGTTTTCTATAAATAAGGCCTCCGTACCCCTATTTTGAGGTTACAGAATTTAGAGAGAGGCCTAGGGACGAGTATTAACTTGTTTTCCCGCTATTTTGTTCTAGACCCTGAGAGTATTTGTAAGTTCATACTTTTTAATTAATGACAACTATTTCTATTCATCTCAATTCTGTTGATTCTTCAATTATGAGTTGCGAGTAGTTTTAATTAGGGATTTGAGATTGATGAAGGTATGATGTATGGGATTCATGATGGATTATTTGCATGAATGATATTTACTTTGTGTTTGAATGATTTAATTGATATCTCTTGTAACCTAGAACTGCAGCAAGTATTACAATTGTTTGTAGAATAAATTATGAGAGATCCAGTTTATTCTAAGACACCTTCACACACACTTAATCGTTTGTTAAGAGATTAGTAGCGATTAGCTCGTTTTGACAATAATTTAGGATCTTGTCGCTTGAGAGATTAGCCTGGCCCCTAAATTATTGTACTCTATGCCGCGAGAGCGATAAGAACTTAGTAATGATATGTGTTGCTCAATTAAATTAAGCTCAAGCAATTAAGTCTAATCTGGCAGAAATTTGGTTGCCCCGGAATCAATCCATGTTCCCTTCATCATTAATTAGAAAGAACCAAGCTTTTTATTCATTTAATTGCATTTTTATTTCCAATCCATCAAATCTCGCACTATTGCTTTTATTTAATTTCTTTTTAATCGCTGCATTTAGTTAATTCCTATTTCCATTTTATCCGCCCCTGTGGAGACGATACTCATACTTGCACCACTATACTACTACATTTTTAAGTGCGAGAAAACTCACATCACACATCCTCTTATCCAACCTCACCGTGAAATGCATTCTTCCCTTCTTTATCTCATAACCACTATCACCATTAAAATCAACTTGTGTCACATAAACCACAACCCATTTAAGTGTAGATACATATATGTGAAGTAGTTATAAATTTACATGATAAGTACAACCTAATTTGTATCAAGTTGTTATATACTTACATGCCAACCCATGCTATAATAGATATTCTTTTCCAACGGTTTCATCACCAAGTTAGCATGACTGCAACTCTAATGGTTTCAAGCATTGGTATTATGGGTTTCACTCTTTCATTAAGCAGGGTTGAATTGAAGGCCTCAGACATATTATTGTCCATTGCATCGCACTTCACTT